GCGTTACGGTAACGCTAAATCACCTCGTTTAACGCACCCATAGTGGGTGCTCTTACAGAGGTTTTAGGCTTCTGGGATTCAAATATATTGCTTTGAAGTTGGAATTGAAAGTCAAGTTATGAGAAAGACACTGAAGAGCTCATCTGTATTTAAAATGTGGATGTGAGAAGCTGGAATGAGAGTCCAGTGAAGATGCTGATTTTATTTTGAAAGGGATGACAACTTGATGAGTCTATAAAAAAGAGGTTGACCCTGTGGCTTGACAGAATGGGCCAGGGTTGAACAGGCTCAAGTTTCAACAGGGCTTTGAAAGCAGGTTTTGGATAAAAATTTGTCATATTGAGGATTTGACTCAAGTGGCACTTTAGAGCAAACTTAACTAAGTATCTTGCCAGTGACCCAAGGCTTGAGTGAGGTCTAGAGCCACTGTAGAAAACCATTACTAAACCATGGGGGGGTCCTGTGCCCAAAATTAGTCAGCCGTGGTCCGAGACTCGTCGGGTCCCATTTTGGACCGCAGACGGGGCTCTCAGCCGCCAATTCGCGACCTCTAGACCATCCATGATGAGGTCCATTATCTGCGGCCATGCGGCCACCAATAGACCAGAATGGCAGCAGACCCCCTAATCACCAATTGTAGATAGCCAGAAGACCAGTCTTCAACCAATCACTCCCAACTCCCACCATGTTGAACTCACTGGGTTAGGTCATGTTTGATGATACCAGTGACTCAACCTTGTACCAATCATCACACCCCCCGACCAACAACATCAAAACAACCTTCCCCAACTCAAGTCCACTTCCAATGACGTGTCCAGTTTGAAAACAAACAAGGTAAATCAGCCCAACAATTGCTCACGGACTATATCTCAAGGTAAATTTCTTTCAACTCTTTTTCTTTACCTTGGCTTTTTTCACGGTCAACCGCAGCTTGCACCCCAACAAGCTACGTCGCCGAGGGCATGAATATACTATAAATTCTTGATGGAGAAGTTGTCTTGAGATTCCAAAGAATCGATGTCTGAACAGACCGCTAAGATTCAAGTGTAGTACTAAATGAAAACCTGAGGGCACAGGATTCTGTGTAAGACTACAGCTGAACAAGCAAGTCTACGACAATATCAAGCACTGACCTAACAAAAACACAAGTTAAACAATCACAGAAAAAGATTAATACAATATTGAGAAAAGAGAAAGTAAGAAGAGTTTGTTTTAACTACCTGCGAGCTCGAAAGGGATCGTGAAGAGCACACGTAGAAGGTATTAGATAAAACAAAAATAACAATTTAATTCTAGGTCGAGAGTTGTGATGTTAGTAAAGGTAGTTTAGAAGAGAAAAAGATAGCAGAAGAAAAGCTAATAGAAAATGACTCACTGATTCTTTTCGACAGGAAAAGAATCAGAAAAGAGGGGAAAGCAAAACACAAAATGAGAGCAGATAACCCGTAAGAATTTTTCCATCATCCCTTGATTTCATCTTCCCAATTTGTCAAGTAGCTCAACCAAAATACAACCTCAATCTAACCCCTTTGGTCGACTTCTTACACTAAAGGAACACAACACAGCACGCCTTCCAAATCAACTCATACAACTTCTAATTCACCTCCTCACAACCTCAATTTGGAAAATGATCTTTGACTAACAATGAAGATAGTTAACTCGTAAGAGGTCAGTATCTTAACATATACCGCCTCGTAAGTTACGCCATTGTCTGCTCAGCATGTTCAACCACCTACTGAAGTCACCCTTGCAAGCAGATTTTACAACATTATATATGAAGATGACTGTTCCGCTTTTGACGGGCAAACCTTTGATGACCAATAGGGGTTGCATGAGGATCTCCAAATTTCACTTTCCAATTTGATTCTTGTTTTTGATAATCAGCACAATCTGATGATTCTGATGTTCATCCAATTTACATACAACAGGTCTTTGACCTGATCTACTACTTTTAGTATTTGTATTAGTATTGATCAAATAATGTGGTAAGCTCTTGGTATTTGAAGAGGTGATCTTGAATGAGTGGGTCCTGATTGATGTCTATTGGTCCCAGATGATTGTCGTTGAGCGATGTCTGTGCTAGGAGGTCTGATCAAATCTGATTTTGCGCAACTTGCAGCAGCTTTCCTTGCTGAAGAACACTGTATGATTGAAAAGGGTGACATTTTTGGAATGGAAGGATGGATTGGATGATTAGTTCACTGTTGATCGGTTAGAGAACATCACACCCATTCAAGACAAGAACAACCCGCTCTCAAATTCTCATCCCCTTCTTACTATTGTTTATGCAAAAACTTCTGTGCTCAATTTATGTTTATCCCAGACAAATTCAAACTGACCGTGTGCTATCTCCCCAATGAGAATGACAATCAAACCACCTATGCATTAGCCTGCCTAACTTCTCCATACTATGTCTGCGAGGTCCCACTGGTATCTCATATTCCACGCCGCCCCTTGTAGCTGCACGTCAAATTGTGTGTGGCTACCAGTGGCGGCTTTTTTGTGTGCCTACAAAATCACAAGTGGGCCGCCACCAGACCGCTTTCGTATGATCCAATGATCAGCTCAAGGCCGTAGTATGGCAGTGGCCAAAGGTGGTCCTCATTCCAAAATTCTATGGTCTACCCAAAGGCTGCCCATCCCTCTGCAGTCATGGGTGGCCTTACAACAGCCGGTCCTGCCCGACTAGAGGCGGTCCAGACCCTCCAGTGGTGTACCACTCCATTTTATCTTGGACCTTGAGAAAAAAAATTAACTGGCATGAGGAAGATCAAAGATCAGAATTCACTACTGAAAAATTGAAAATATGGGTTTTCCCAAGTCAAGTCTGGTCAAGAACTTAAGCTTAACTGAGCCCTTCTTCCAATGTGGCCATGTAATGCAATTACCCCACAATCTACAAGTGGTGACAGGGTAACAACAGGACAAGCAGCATGTAAATATCCTTGTAGCATGTTGACATGCACACACAAAGAGTTTTGAAACATATCTGAAATTATTTTGGTTGGATTGAGACTGAAATTGTTGTGGAGCACCCTTTGTGAATAGTGGTTTACTTATAGGACTTACAGAATCCTTTGTCTTCATCTGGGGTCAACTGACTTTCAACATCACATTTGATAAGGGGAAGATGCACCTGTTATGGTACCTCTTTGATGGGTCTTGAGCAGGTCTAAGGAAAGACCTGCGTGTGTGCACGTCAACATGCTACAATGATATTTACATGGTGAAGGAGAAGCAGAAGAGCTTGAAGAAGAGGTTCAGAAATTATCACAGGTTTTTACAACATTTAGAGCCCTCAAAAAGGGATTTCAAGTAAAGCTGCTTGAAATTCCTGCTGGTCTCAGGCCAAGGTTGGGCTATAACCCCTAAGCCACTCTTTGAGAGTGGATGTGGTGTGTCCAAAGAAGGGCTGAGTTGAGCTTACCAAAAACTGAAGTCTGAACTTTTTTTATTTTTCTTTGTGGTCCAACATACAATGTAATACAGCCAATGTGACAATGTTTTTTTTTGAAAATGTGTTGCCTAAAACCATTCCAAACCCATTAATCAGTTTCTGAATGATGTTGGATTTGGCTAGTATGCAGATATGCATCAAACACTAAGGCGGATTTCCCCGCAATCATTCATCTTCATCCTTCTTCACTTGCCAATCTTGATCAATCTGCCTCAAACTTCAAGCTACTAACCTCATTTTTTTAACAAAAAGTGCTTATCAGCATAATTACATACAACACTGACTAAACTATACAACTGAGTGGACTAGTATTCCTTAGAAATGCAGCCTTCTTGTCAAAGAAAAGTGTGGGGTGACTTTTGGATGCAGTAATTTTTTTTCACTTTTTGGAACTTTTGTCATTATTATGATGATAGTATCAATCACTTGCCCTCCACGTAGGAAGCAGGCAGTGTAATGATAATAGTAATAGCTTACCCTACTAACCTCAATAAGCCAGCTGTGTAAAGTGATGACCAAGGCCTAATGTTCACTGGGAGTCCAATCAAGAGTGAGTCTATGGTTGCTTGCGTCAAGACAGTGGTAACTCCAAATCAGTAGCTCCACCCCTTTGACCCTGCGAGTCTGTAAAATTCAGTGAAAAATCTAAGGGCCCGTTTGGCTGGATTTCCAAAAATTTGTTGCACAAAAATGAAAATTCAATCTGCCCCTTTTTTGCCCCTTGAAAAAGGGGCAGATAGAGAAACTCAAATTTCAGCTTTTTAGATTACCAAACAGTCGACCAAAAAGGTCAACAAATAATCATCTTGATCATTGTTCACCATTGATCACCGTTTGACTGTTTGGTAAAGATGAAATGAAAAGACTTTTTCGATTGAAACTTGATTGATCAAAACTTGAAAATCAACCAATCCATTTTTAATTCCATCCATCCATCCATCACGGTCATTGAACACCAAAATCATTGTTCCATCAACGTTCCGTTTGTTGACACTTCACATCACGTGGTTTGATCATCATGGAGCATTGTCCTCGTGCTTCAATTCAATCCCTAGCAATTTCAACTTTTTTGTAACTTTAGCACAGGGAGTATGTAGAGAGAGAGAGGAAGAAGGCTGAGCAAATGTGAGGGTGTGAACAACATAAAAGGGCATGGTTAGAGAGAGAGGGTGAGAGAGAGATTGAAATTGATTGACAGGTTGAGGCAGGTTGAGGCAAGGGGCAAAAAGAGTTTTTGGACTGAAAAACAGCCTTGAGGCTGTTTTTCAAAATTGATGAATTTTTGATCAAATACACTTTTTGTTTTTGGTCAAATAAAGTTGCCGAATGCCGGCGTTTTTGACCAAAATCAAAAAGTGTATTTGACCAAAAAGAGTTTTTGGCTTTGGTGGGTTTTTTGGCCAAAAACCGTTTTTGGTTTCCAGCCAAACAGGGCCTAAATTTCTATAGTGAAAATTTGAAAAAAAATGTCTTCAATTGGGATGAGAAATCACATTCAGAATGAGCGTGTAAAGAAGTCTTTTGGAATTGTATTTGGTTTCTCAATAAATCTAGATTTGTGGCCGGCTATAGACTTTGGGCCAAAACTTATGGTTACCACAGTTTTGACATAACCCACTATACTGCTCATGATCATGACTCATAAAACCCACAATCCTTGATTTGTGCCAGTTTTGTTTGCTGCAGCAGATTCTTTTTTAAAAAAAGTGCAATCTCTCTCAAATTGGCTGTAGCTGTACTACCCATTTTATGTTGGAGTTCAGAAAATAATAATAATAAAGTTTTTTTTACTACCTTAAAGCAGATTAAAATTCGAATTTAATTATGGTGTCAAACCCGTGCAAGAACTGTGCAAGACCAACGTGCAAGATCCGGCAAGATTTTTTGCACTAATCTTGCACATTGATTTTTTTGACAACCTGAGTTATTGCGTTCCAAACCATGCAAGATCCGTGCAAGGTCTATTTATATCTTGCACAGAACTTGCACAAAACTTGCACAAATCAATTTTCAAAGTTTGAACACCATTAAGTGGCAGAAAATATATGGTACCGGATCGAGTCAGCCTTCGGGGCTCTGCAATCGGGTCGGACCTTCTCTTCGGCTCAGAGCTTTGGTGTTTCATCAGGTTCCACAACTCAAACGGCTTTCTCACACAAGACCACAACTCTGGAACGAATTGCACGAATTTGACATGGCCAGTTCCAACAACTTGAACGAAGAGGGCATTGTCAAAGCTTCTCGTGAAGCAATGGATGGTCTGTCACAAGCTATCTTACAAGATAACGACGATCAGCTCTGCTTATGTAACATCGATTTTGTAGTTCTTTACGATCTCAGCGTGTTATTGGGAACAGGATTGGATAGACAAACTTTGGCTCTTTGTATTAGTATGGTAGAAGATGGAACAAATCCTTTAGCATTAGCTGTACGTCAATATATCTTACTTTGAATTACCGAAAGGAGTGTACTCATTATACATATTTGAGATTTAGACTGTCGTACGTGAATTGCGTAGAGAAGCTGAAGCTCGGTCTGCTAAAACTCGAGGTCCTGATGATATAGAAGGTGGAATGGTTTGAAAACATTTTTCGGATTTTTTTCCTGTCAGGAAACTCCAATATTTCTTCATCTCGATGTCAGAGTGTAGGATGTTGATTCGGAACAGTATGTTGATTGTAGGTCCTCGAACAGGTCAAGTATTTGAGATTTTTCGGATGGATAGTTTGAACGCGCGAGTAATTTTTCATCTTTGGAGGTAACATGCAGAGGCTGGATAGGGCTTGATATGTTTAGGGAGACCTGTCTGTATTTATTTGTACTACATATTGCATCATACCCAGAATGCCAATTCCCTTGTTGCAGGTGGGCTTGAGGGGCCTCACTCATGTTTCTTCAAATGAACCCCACTTCAACCTCGCCCCTGCTGAGCTTCAAAATAAAAAATGAGCGACTACCTGGAAGTACGAACAAACTATTTCGACCTGATTTTGCCAATGTTGCTATCAAGCTACATCTTAAGACTCAGAGCCATTCAAGCCATCGACATTGATGTTGAAAATTTTAAATGACACAACAAACTTGACTATAATTCTCACAAAACACATCTTGTTTCTTCAAGTGCTACTTTACAATCGATAAATCTGATAATTTCACATCGCACACATTTTTTTCTGGATATACTTGCAAACTATTTTGCAGTTACTTTCTTTGTACTGATATACTTCGTCTTGTATTCATGATAATAAGCAATTCAAATTCTTGGTATCAAGCTTTTTAACATTTTTGTTACCTAGCGGAATTCGTATTCTAGCTATGTTTGATCTGTTTTCGATGACATCACAAAGGAGGAATAAGAGAGATCATCAGTAAACCTACACCTTGCGAAATAATTGAGGATATAGAAACCGAAAGAGATTTGCCAAGATATTCAACACAACAAACGCTCACCTCTACAATCAAATCACCAGATCCAAGACTATCACCAGGTCCAACGGCAACTCTTGAAACTTTACCACCCACAGGCGCTGTAACATTCTGTTCCATCTTCATAGCTGACATGATACAAATTGGATCACCAGCCTTCACTTCGTGTCCTTCTTGAACTCGAATCTCTACAACCACACCTGCCATTGGTGATCCAACTGAACCTGGGTCTGATGTTGCTTTTTCCCGATGCGCCGTCTGATAATTCAAAGCATCAATCATCATCAATTACTCAGAGATAGCACTTGGCGAAGTAAACGAGCAAGGTGGTAAAAAACTCACTTCTACAGCCGCGTTACGATCTTCGACTTGTACAGCTCGAGTCTCACCGTTCAATTCAAAGAATACTTCCCTTACTCCAGTCTCAGGGCTGTAGTCACAAGATTGAGAAATAAGTGGTAAAAAGTCAGCAAAGTTCCCTTCGCGTTCAACTTCACGAAAAGGACGAACTTGACCGGCCCCGAAGCCAATAGTTTCACGATCAAAGTCTTTCCTTGCTCGATCGAGATATGTAGCTCTTCACCCACTTCAGGTTTAGCTAAGAAGTATCTTGCTGTATTTATCATCTCCATGTCAGCTCAGCTTCATCACGTTAAGAATTTCAAATCAAATTGAAAATGTACGCACTAGGTAGAATTGACAAGTCACCGTACTTGGTCAAAAATTCTTTAAATTCTTCATACACTTTGGGGTACATGCAATAAGAGAGAACGTCCTATAAAAGGTGCCAAAAAGTCAATCGGCATTTGCAGAAATTGGATTTCATCATCAGGTCTGAAAAAGACAACGAACTGTTGAGGTAATACTCTTTCCAAATTTCTCTTGAAGATCCTTTCTGGTCTTATCGAAATTATATGGTGCCATACTGATACCCGGACGACCCTCAATTCTAGGTTTATCACGAATGATTTGACTACGTAGCGGCTCTGGGAATCCACCCACAGGTTGACCGAGATATCCTTGGAAAAATTCAACCACCGAGTTAGGGAAGTCAAGTTTATCGGCTCGTGCTTCGACATCAGCCTTAGAGAGCTTGTTGGACACCAAGAACTGAGCAAAGTCTCCCACAACTTTTGATGAAGGGGTTACCTTTACAATATCACCACATAGTTGATTGGCTTCAATCTATGAGCAACCGGAAGTGAGATAGCCAAGTCAGCGAGGCAATGGCGTGATCGAGCAGGAAACCGCGTACATAAGCTTTCTTCACCGCAGCCCATTGTGTACCAAGACCAAGTTGTTGGCTTTGGAACATGAGGTTAGTGTATTGCCCACCGGGCATCTCATGCCTACAATCACATAGAGGAAGCGTTGTAAGTTTCGCATAAGATCAGCTTTACCCAGATCAGATACTCAACTCATAAACACCCGAGTCACTAGCTTTTACGTTAGCATCGAAACAGCTGTAAAGCATTCGGCATTGAGACCAGTAGAGCTGTCGAGACAGGTCCCCTTTTATCAGTGAACAGGTTCAAGAATTTGAATTTTAAACTTGGAACACATACATTCAAAGCTTGGACGTCGTCGTAGCAGATTCCAGTCCCGAGACCGTTTTGCTCAAGCGCAGCGCACAAAGCGCCCATAGCACATTGGGAGGTCATTCCAGACATGCTGTCGATTGCACAATCAACGACATCGGCACCTGATTCAGCGCATTGCAGCATCGTCGCCAGGGAGATCCCGGCAGTATCGTGAGAGTGAACGTGGATAGGTAAATCTGGGTATTTTTCTCGCAAGTTACCAATCAGACTAACGATTTGTGGAGAATCAAACCGAATCAGCCTTCTCAAGGTACCTGCACTTCAAGGAAATTGTACGAACATCTTTGCAGCTCGAGGGGTCAATAAGCCTGCCATATCCTTGATCGCAAGCACGTGAATACCCTCAGCAACCAATTCAGCTGCAAATTTCATATAATAATCTAAAGTGTATTTTGTCTTCTTTGGATCAGCTACATCTCCCGTGTAACAAATTGTAGCTTCAACCACTCCTCCAGCTCGTTTGGCAGCATCAATACCGAGTTTCATATTGTCAAGATAATTCAAAGAATCAAAGACTCTAAAAATATCTAGTCCATTCTCGACAGCCTTTTTCGAAAACTCGTAGATGGCATTGTCCGGGTAAGAAGTATAACCCACCGCGTTCGCTCCTCTTATCAAAGCTTGGAGAGGAATGTTAGGTACTAGTTTACGAATCTTTCGAAGTCGTTCCCATGGATCTTCATAGAGGAATCGCATTGCTACATCGAAAGTTGCACCTCCCCAACATTCAAGCGAGTAAGCGTTGGCTAGAGCATGACTAGTTTCACGAGCAATGTTGAGAATATCGATGGTTCGAAGACGGGTAGCTAGAAGAGATTGATGAGCGTCTCGCCAAGTGGTGTCCATGATCAGACATCCTTTGTAATCACGCACTGCCTTGGCAAATGCAGCAGGACCTTGAGTCTTGAGGATTTCTCTCCAGCCAAATTGACTTGGCTGAGTCACATCGAGAGGTTTTTCGGGATCGGTTCGGTGGGCAAACTGTGGGATGACAATTTCTTCCTTCAATCCAGGTTCACCTTGTTGGCCCTTGATGCTACTTCCGTTAACGACAAGGTCACCGAGATACCCGAGAAGCTTTTGAGCTCGGTTTTGACTGCTGATCAAGTGGAACAATGCTGGTGTATCATCAATGAACTTAATCAATTGAAAGAGCAAAAAGTGAGGGTCAGTATACAAGCCCAGTGGGTTTGAAGATAAGATTATTCAACACTGACCGTTGTCCACGTTTGACACGCTACAAAGGTCTCATGTGATAAGACCCTGAACAAGAACGGAATGTTGGTCTTCACACCTCGGATTCGGAACTCGACCAAAGCTCTCAACATTTTTCTACGAGCAATCTCAAAAGTAGCACCTCGAACTGTGACTTTGGTTAATAAACTATCATAGTGAGGGGTGATTTGAGCCCCCGCGAAACCGGAGGAAGCATCCAGTCGGACACCGTTACCTCCGGCTGAGCGGTAGACTTCGATCTTGCCGGTGTCTGGTTGGAAACCTGCCGCTGGGTCTTCAGTGGTCACACGGCACTGAATAGCATATCCACGCTTCGTAATCACATCTTGAGTGAGACCTAAATCGGCAAGGGTAGCACCAGCTGCAATTTGGATTTGAGCTGCAACAATATCGATTCCAGTGATTTCTTCGGTGATAGTATGCTCCACTTGAATACGAGGGTTAATCTCGATGAAATGGTGACGACCCTGTTGATCGACAAGGAACTCGGCAGTCCCCGCGTTACGGTAATTCACAGCTGATGCTAACTTCTTCGCATCCTCCAAAATCTTCGAGCGCACTTCGTCGGTCAACTCCGAAGCAGGAGCAAGCTCAACGACCTTTTGGTGACGACGTTGAACCGAGCAATCACGTTCGAAAAGATGGATCACATTTCCAGCGCTATCCCCTAAGAGTTGTACTTCGATATGACGAGGTTTGTCTAGGAAACGCTCAATAAAGACCGTCCCATCTCCGAACGCCGCCTTCGCTTCTGAAACAGCTCGCTCGAAAGATTCCTTGAATTCTTCTGCGGCACGTACCACCCGCATACCTCGTCCTCCACCCCCCATGGCTGCCTTGATGATGACGGGAAATCCATGCTCCTTGATGAAGGCATCTGCCAAGTCATAACTAGCAATCGCGCCTTCAGTCCCAGGTACGACTGGAACACCGCACTTCATGGCTAATCAACAAAGAGTAAGGCGGATTAAGCGATGCTATCCATTTTATCTCAGTGAATTCAAAGATGGGATAGGGAAATCGAATCACCAAGAGTCCTAGCTTTCACCTTGTCACCCAGCCCGTCGATTACCTCGGGTTGTGGACCAATGAAAGCCAATCCAGCCTCTTCTACCTTTTTGGCGAATTCGGCATTTTCAGCCAAGAACCCGTATCTGAATCGAGGTAAGACAGTCAGACTCTGGTTATAGATTTATGAAAAGCAAGGAAACACCCACCCAGGGTGAATCATGTCTACACCATGTTCGAGGGCTAATTTAATGATATCGTCCTGTGCAAGGTAAGCACCAACCGGGGTGAGACCTTTTCCGACCATGTAA